TGGGCAGACAGGGTGCGGGGCAGGCAGGGTGCGGGGCAGGCAGGGTGCGGGGCAGGCAGGGTGCGGGGCAGGCAGGGTGCGGGGCAGGCAGAGTGGAGGCCAGCCTGCTGGGCAGACAGGGTGCGGGGCAGGCAGGGTGCGGGGCAGGCAGGGTGCGGGGCAGGCAGGGTGCGGGGCAGGCAGAGTGCGGGGCAGACAGGGTGCAGGGCAGGCAGAGTGCGGGGCAGACAGGGTGCGGGGCAGGCAGAGTGCGGGGCAGGCAGAGTGCGGGGCAGACAGGGTGCGGGGCAGGCAGGGTGCGGGGCAGACAGGGTGCGGGGCAGGCAGGGTGCAGGGCAGGCAGGGTGCGGGGCAGGCAGAGTGGAGGCCAGCCTGCTGGGCAGACAGGGTGCGGGGCAGGCAGGGTGTGGGGCGGCCACCGTCTGATGGCAGGCAGCTGGCTTGCCCGGGCGTGTGCCCCGTGGGCCTCGGTTCCTCCTCCAGGAAACGGGCGGCAGCAGGGTGCCATGGGCGCTGGAGGGCTGAAATGCATCGGGGCTGACAGCCAGACAGACACTCGCCGAGAGTGCCGATGTGTCCAGAGCCGCAGCCTGGGCTCCCGCAGCCTGGGCTCCCGCAGCCTGGCACCGCGAGGGCCCGGCCTGGGGGTCACGGCGGCCTGGGGGTCACGGCGGCCTGGGGGTCACGGCGGCCTGGGGGTCACGGCGGCCTGGGGGTCACGGTGGCCGGCAGACCTCACACACCCCCCTGCTCAGCTTTCTCGTCCGCACGGCGAGGAACGGGCGGGATGGTTGCCAAGCCCCTCACCACGCCTGGCTCCTGCCAGCCTTCCCCGTCAGCACAGCTACCGCGCCAGCTCCCGGCGGGCTGCCCAGGCCTGTGCCCCCACTTCTCCTCGAGGCCCTTTGGTGTGAGTGACGTGTTTTAATGCCGGAGACTGTAGAGGCTGCCCGGGGCGTGGGCCCCGCAGGCAGTTCCTTTCCGAGCACGTCCCCCGTCCCCCGTCCCCGAGGTGCAGGGCGCTCCCAGCAGACGCGGGGAGGGGCGGGCGCGGGGAGGACAGCCGTCCGCCCCGGCCGCCGTGTTCTGTGGCCGCCGGCGCCCCTCACGAGCTCCTGTTTGTAAAGATCGGCCTCTCCTGCCTGCGTGTCTCACAGCCTGTTTTTCCCGGAAGGCATCTGTGGGTGTGTTGTAGCAATAAACCCCTCCTACGGCGACAGCAGCTCAGGATCCGCCGTGTGGGCGGGCGTCCTCGGTGTTTCTCTGTGTTTCCCCGCCGGGCGCTGCCAGGTCGGCAGCTGTTTGTAAACGCTGCGGGGACGCGCCGGGAACTAAACTGCTCCTCGCACCCTGAGTGTGCACGTGGCATCGTCTGTGACGGCTCCCTAAGGCCCCGCCCGCAGCGCGCCCCGCCCGGGCCTGCAGGTCCCCCCACCCCCCACAACATGTGTGGCCGGGAACCGCCTGGTGGAGCTCCCTCCAGCGGGTCCACGGGGTAGGGGGAGCCTTCCTCGGTGCCGGGCCCTCTGAGCGTGCTGAGCGACGAGGCTCCGGAATGTTCTCACGCACCCACACAGGTTGGCGCCGGTGTTCAGGCCCGCACAGCCCCTGCGCCCTGAGCTGGCCCTGAGCCCTGACCCAGGACGCGGGGATCTTAAGGGGCTGGGCCTCGAGCTCCATGACCTGCAGCTCTGGCTGGAGGGGGAGAAGGGGGCTCTGGCGGGGACGCTGCAGCCTGGGTCCCAGGTCCTGCTGGCCGTTGGCCTGAGCCTGAGCAGAGGCTGTGAGGCGGGAGGAGCCGGCAGCGGGCACAGCCGGGCAGTGAGCTGCTCCCGCATCTGCCCCGCAGGGCTTGCTGCGTCCACACCGCTCACCCTGCCCCTCGGGACGTGTCCTCACCCGCCTGCCACCTCCCTGCCGCCTCCCTGCCCGGCAGGACCAGGAGCTGGAGTTTCCGGCCGGCATGGGGCGCTGCCCTGTCTCAGGGGCCCGCGGGGCAAGCAGACCCTCCCCCCCAGTGCAGGGTCCTGGGAGCCCCATCTGGCCCTCTGCACTGGACGCTGCTCTGCCCTGGCCCCACCCCTCAGCGTCCTGGGGTGCAGACCACGTGTCCTTTCTGCAGACGTCCTTCTTGCCCCCTCCGCTGGGCCCCCCACCCAGCTCCTCTCGGCACCCCAGCTTCGCAGGCCACCCCGAGACGGACAGTGCCGGGACCAGCAGGCCACACCTCCCAGCCACGTGGGGCCTTAGACATAATGCAGGTTTGGGGCCCCTGCCACTCGGAGCCGGGGCTGGTTGAGTCCTGAAGCTCCTCCTTAGTGAGGGGCCTGCTGGTCCAGGGATCCGGACCTGGCAGAGCCAGATCCACGCCGGCCTCTGACCCCAGTGTCCCCCCTCGGGGCTGTCACCTCACCCCTCGTCCCTCCCCAGCATCAAAGGCCCTGTGAGGCGGTGGGGGTGGTGGGGTGGGGGAGGCCTGCAGGGAACAGAGCGGGCAGGGTTTTGGGGGCACCAGGCCGGCCACTCCTGCCAGCGGGGCCGGTCTGCTGGGCGCAGGCCTCTCCTCTGTCCCCACGCCCCTTGCACACTCGGCCCTTCGCCGCCCGGGAGTGAAGCTCTGGGCGCAGGTGGTGCGGGTCCCGTGGGGACGGGCGGGGGTGGGGGGGTGGCAGGGACAAGGAGGGGGCCGCGGTGTCTCCATTTCATTCATTATCGGTGGGAAGATGAGACGTGAGATAAAAGCGGGAAAATGTCATCCTCTGACATTTACGTTCTCAGAGGCGCTGGCAGGCGAGGCGGAGCGGGCGGTTTTAGATCCGCTCCCGGACGACGGCTGCGGGGAAGCTGGGCGCCCTGCGGGGGTGCTCCCCGCTCCGGGCCCTTTCCCCAGGGGCCACGCCACGCCCAGCGCCCCACGGCGGTGCCGGGCCTCCCGTTTGCCCCCAGACCCTCTGGTCCTCGGTCCCCGAGCGGGGTTCCTGTGGCCCCAGGCGGCACACAGCCCCGCGGAGCCCGGGCCGAGTCCAGCCGGCGCCGTGGACGTGGAACCGGGGCTGAGGCTGCCGTGGTCACAGCCGCTGGGGGAGCCCCTGAGCCCGGACCACAGGCACAGGGGGCGCAGACAGAGCACAGGGGGCGCAGACCCCCCCCCTCCCCCCCCGCGGCCGGCTCACTGCAACACCCTCTCCCGTGGGAAGCCGCACCCTGGCCCTGGCTCCATCTCCGTGTCCACGCTGACCCAGGGCTGTGCCCGGCTGCTCTGCAGGGGCCCGCTGCCTCTGGCTCATCGGGAGGAGGGTGCCCGCTGATGAGTGACCTCTGCCCGGTGGGCATCGGACGGGGCGGTTCCCAGGCCCGACGGTCTCCAAGGCCCTCGTCCGCCAGCTCTCCCCCTCCAGCCGGCCGGCTCCTGTGGGACGGCCGGAAGGGCACCAGCATGGCTGCTCTGGTTTTGTTCTCGGTGAACATTGGCGTCTTAAGCGCCAAGAAAACAGCCCAGGCCGAGTTGCTGGTGAAAGACCCCTCAGCGCTCAGCGGCCGAGAGTCGGTGGGACCGGCGGGCGGCTGCATTGTGCTCGGGGAGTCTGGTCTGAGCTCAGACGGGCCCGTCACGCCCAGGCTCATGGCTCCCACAAGCCCCAGCCCCTGAGGGCCGGCCTGCCCCTCGCAGGCTGAGAAAAAGGGCCCTCTGTGCGGTGTGGGGTTCCCCCGGGCCTGGAGGAAGTGCTCAGTAGGAGGGCAGCCTAAAAGGACGGCGGAGGGACAGGTTCCAGCCGCGGGGCCTTTGTGGGGCCCTGCTTTCACTTTTGCTGTCTCCCAGTGTGCACGGCGGGGCAGGCCCTGGGGGGCTGAGGGTGCCCCAGGGCGAGGCTCCCACAGGCCTGTTGGGCACTGTTCCTGGACACTCGGTACCTAGCAGGGGTGTCTGTGAATTTAGCAGCCGGCCGGCCACCAGGGGTGGTGTTCATGTTCCCTTTCCCCAGATATAACCATGTGCGCGCGCATACACACACACACACACACACACACACACACACACACACTCACATACATGAACACACTTTAGCTCTATGCCCACTGAAGCACGCACGCACACGTGAGCGCACACAGATGATCTCGCGCTCGCACAGCGGCGTCTCCGAGGTGAGGTGCCGTCCGCCTCCCCGGTGCCGGTAATCCTGTGCGAACCGGGAGCAGCTGCTTGCTGTGCGGGTGTGTGTACTCTGCTCCGGGGCAGCCTCCTCTGCTCCCTGCCTCGGTTTCCCCACAGCACGGAGCCGCTGCCCGCTGGCTGCCCGTCGTGTTGGAGATTGTGGAATGACAGCCGGGACTGCGGGGCCGGGTGGTGGAGCGGTGTCTGGGGCAGGCTGTCCGGAGCACAGGGCGGGGCCGCCTGGCAGGAGTGGCCGTGGTCGCCCCTGAGCCCGTCACAGCTTCCGTTTGACCCAGCTGCTGGTTTGGGCACCGCCAGGACCCCCTCTCGCACTCTGAGCCGCACCGGCAGCGGGCAGCCCTCGAGCTCAGCCACCCAGATGACTGATTCTGTGCAATAGGGCAACAGGCGTCAGCCTCAGTACCGGGACCTGTGCCCCCCCAACACCCGTGAAGGGCACGGGGACAGCCCTCTGCTTCTACCAGACCTTGCCTTGCGGCTTTATTTAATTTTATTATATATATATGTGTGTGTGTGTGTGTGTTTGTGTATATGCATATGTCTGTGTGTGTGTGTGTGTGTGTTTTATTGATCTCAGAGGGAAAGGGAGAAAGAGAGAAAGAAATATCAGTGATGAGCGAGTCATTGATTGGCTGCCTCCTGCACGCCTCCTGCTGCGGATGGGTCTGCAGCCCGGGCCTATGCCCTTGACTGGAATGGAACCCGGGACCCTCCAGTCTGCAGGCTGACGCTCTGTCCACGGAGCCGAGCTGACGAGGGCTGCATGACTGCTTTCCGGAGACTTCTGTTTCCTTGTGACTGACAGAGCCTCCTTTGTGCCGTCCAGGTCATCTCCGCCGTGTCCAGACTGTCCCTGCACAATGTGGCCCAGAACAAAGGGATCAGGTGAGCCCGGCACAGCCCGCCCCTGGAGTCCCCTGCCGGCGCGGCTGGCAGGGCGGGAGGAGGCAGCTGCTGTGGCTGCGAAGTCAGTTCCGATGTGGGCAATCCGGTGCACAGATTAATCCTCTCACAGACACCGCCCGCGTGCGTGCACTCCGCACGCCTCAGGAACGGGGCTCCGTGGGAATGGCGGAGCTGGGGCTCCCGTTAAAAGCCAAGCCCACACCCAGGCCTGCAGCCCGGCCGATCGCTCCTTCCTCTCAGGACAGGATGGAGCCCAGCGGCTCCTTTGAAACGGTCGCTGTCCCAGCACTGTGCTTTGATGATGAGCTGGTTCTCCAGCACAGCCCAGAGGCCATGGATGGGAGGTGGCCCGTGTCACCCAGGGTTACCCAGCCCCCCGAGTCACCCAGTCCCCAGGGTCACAGCCCCCAGGGTCACCCAGCCCCCAGCCCCCAGGGTCACCCAGCCTCCAGGTCACCCAGCCCCCAGTCACCCAGCCCCCAGGTCACACAGCCCCCAGGTCACACAGCCCCCAGGTCACACAGCCCCCAGTCACCCAGCCCCCAGGTCACACAGCCCCCAGGCCACCCAGCCCCCAGGTCACACAGCCCCCAGGGTCACCCAGCCCCCAGGTCACACAGCCCCCAGGGTCACCCAGCCCCCAGGTCACACAGCCCCCAGGGTCACCCAGCCCCCAGGGTCACAGTCCCCAGGTCACACAGCCCCCAGGGTCACCCAGCCCCCAGGTCACACAGCCCCCAGGTCACACAGCGGGCTGGGTCCCAGGCGCGGTGTTGGCTGACACGCAGTGAGGGGCTGGCCTCCCGGGGGTGGAGGGACTGCAGGGGAGCAGCTCGCGCCCCACACAGCCTAGTGGAGGCCGAGGCGTGGAGCTGGGCTGAGTGCAGGGGGTGACAGGATTAAGCAGAATCAGAACCGCACGGACAGACAGCCTGGCTGGTCCTTCCCTGGGAGGCGGACGGGAGCCGGTTAGCTCTTCCAGGAGCGCCACGCCAGCTCTCATTCCTGGCCAGCCCGTGGCAGCGACACTCACCTGCCCGCCTCATCCTCACTCCTCTCCCGCAGGCCCTTCCCCTCGGAGGAGACGGCGGAGAACGACGATGACGTGTACCGCAGCCTGGAGGAGCTGGCAGAGTGAGCGGAGGACGGGACAGGGGGAGGGGGAGGGCGGGAGGGGAGGGGAGAGGAGAGGGAAAGGAAAGGGGAGGGTACCCGCTGAGGCCTCAGAGCCCGCCCAGCACACCTGTCAGTCCTGAGGCCTGGTGTGTCCCCCCAGCAGGTTGGGAGAGTGAGTGGGAGGGTCTGTTCTCTCAAACATGAGCCATTCTGCACCCCCCCCCCCCCCGTTCTCGAAGGCCCTGGTGGGTCTGGGGGTGCCATGGGGGAAGGGTCTCCTCCCCAGCCTCCTGTCGGGGAGCAGAGAGAGCTGGGCCACCGGGGCGGGCGGGGCTGGGGGGTTCTTAGCCTCGTGCTGTCCTGGGCTGGGCGTTGGGGGGTGTGGGCGTCCCTGGAGCCGGAGCCCCTGGAGCTGGAGCCAGAGCACAGGCAGCGGGGGGTCCAGCGTTGCCTCTGGCCGTCAGGGCGGCTCCGGCTGAGGTCAGGCCCCCTGAGGCCTGACAGGAGGTTGAAAGGGTCGCCTGGCTGCGGGTCGCTGTGGCAGGGGTGGGACCGTGTGGTCTGGGCTCAGGGCTGGCCGTTTCCCAGGGTGCCCATTCTGCAGGACGGAGCCGGAGCCCTGGGTGGCCCCTCCTGGCTCCTGAGCTGGCTGGCACAGCCCCTAGGCCAGGCGGGACCCTGCTCCTCCCTGCGTGTGAAGGTGAAGCCCCCGGAGCCCGGGCCGCCCCTGTCCTAGGGCGAGGGCTCTGAGACTGGCCGCTTCTCCCAGGCCGCCAGCCTGAGGTGTCGGCCGCCCAGGCCTCCGGGGCAGCCGGGACGTGCCAGGAAGTGCCTCCTCAGACCAGCCAGAGCCCGCCCTCAGCGGCCACCCGGGTCCTGCCTGCCCCGATGCTGGGCTGCACGGGCGGTTTGGGGGGTTTCTACGCGGCGAGTCAGACAGTGGGACCCGGGCGCCAGGCCCCTTTCTCTGCCCCTTCCCGTGTGCCCGGGCCCTCGAACCGATCACGGGGTGTGGTCCCTCCCGGTGAGAAGCCGGCCCCGGCCGAGGCTGCGCACAGCTCAGCGGCGGCCCCGTTGTGACATTAGAGCGAGCCTCAGCCCAGGGGCTGCCCCGGCGCCGTGACGGCACATACATCACGGATCGCAGGGACGGGATGGATGCGAGTCTTTAACTTCCGATTTGGTCCCAGCGGCTCCGGTTTAGTACATTTTTCAAGCTCCCCCTCCTCCCGCGGGGAGGCATGTCTGCATCCTGTCCCCGTGGACCGGGCTGGTGGCCATTAGGGCCACCCACACGGCACACAGGAACCCACTTCCCACCGGGCCGCTGGGCGGACGGGAGGCCATGCGCATTGAGGCGGAGCCGGGGCAGGGGCCCGACTCATCAGGGCAGCCTGGAGCAAGGGGACCCCACTTTCCCCCACTTCTCTGGGCGCCGGGAGGAGAGAGCCCCACTTCCCCCCATGTCCTCTAGGAGGCCGGGAGGGAGCAGCTCCAGTTTGGGCAGAACCTGCTTCCTCCTAGGCTGTTGGCAGGTGTCGGAGCTGTCAGTCCGGGTGGGCGGCGGTGGAGAAACAGGTCCCGGTGTCCTCGGTCCACACGAGGGAGCCGGCGTGCTCGGCGTAACCGCGGGCACAGCTCAGCGGGACTCTCCGCGGGAGCTCCCGGCCCCGGGGGGCAGAGGGCTCTCGGGTCAGACGTGAGCCGGGGGCTCAGAAGCCCGGGCCCCGAGCGGAGGGCGAGGGGTGAGGACCGTCTCTGGCTCCGAGCTCGCGGCCGAGGCCCGGCGCCGTGTATGATTGAGCAGGTCAGCAGCTGGCTGGGAAAATGAACACAGGTGCTGCCGCCTAGGAGCGCTTCAGCCCGCGCGCGAGGCTGCTCTGAGATGGTCCTGATGAATGCCTTGTGTTTGCCATGGCTTCTCCTCCCGAGACCCCTCTTCTGACTGGGGCGCTCTGCGGAAGCCGGGGTGCTGCTCCGACCGGCCCGAGTCCTGGGCCGGCCGGGGTGAGGTTCCTGAACTGGGGGAACCCCTCACCCAAGGCTGGGAGGGTGTTTGCACACGGGACCACCACCCGTGGGAGCCCGGACTGGGGCTGGGTTAAGGCCAGCCCGGAAATCCAGGAGGGCTCCTCAGGAGAGGTGACCACTGGGTCTTGGAGCCCAAGTAGGAGCGTCTTGTAGGAGCCCACATAGGAGGTGTCTCCCCCCTCCCGCCTCCGCCTGGTCCCTGGCAGGTAGTGAGGGGCTGGGAGTGGGGGCTCGGTCTCGGGGGGGAGGAGGGGGCTCTGTGCGCTGCTGGTTTACCGCAGGCGCCGGGAGGCGGGTGCCCGCCCTGTGGGCCCTCTGACCGCCCCTCCCCGCAGCGAGCACGACGTGGGGGAGGACATCTATGACTGTGTCCCCTGCGAGGACGAGGGTGACGACATCTACGAGGACATCATCAAGGTGGAGGTGCAGCAGCCCATGGTGAGCCGGCCGCGCCCGCACGCCCTCCTCTGCCCTGGGGCCGCGCCCCCACGCCCTCTTCCTCACCCGCACGGGCTTTGCACTTGGCAGAGCAGTCTGCCCTTTAAAAAAAAAAAATACATAAACACACACACACACACACACACACACACACACACGCATATATATAAACACACACACACACGTTTATAGACTTTAGAGAGAAAGGGAGAGGGATAGAAACATGACTAATGAGAGAGAATCATGGATCGGCTGCCTCCTGCACGCCCCCTACTGGGTGGGGATCAACCCGCACGCAACCCAGGCCTGTGCCCTGATGGGACTGGAACTGTGACCTCCTCTACCGCTGAGCCACGCTGGCCGGGCTGATTCTGGCCTTTTCTTTAAAAATGAGCATCCCCAGGCCCTGGCCACTGAGGGGAGCTGGTCCCATGTGGAGGGAGCTCCAGAGGCTGCCCTGTCCTCCCCACCCGTTCCTCCCCTTCCTGGGCCCAGCCTGTGCAGGCCCTCGTCCCTGCGAAGTCCCCTCAGGAAGCTGGGGTGTGACATGCTGCCTGCCACACGCCCTGCCCGCCTTCCGCCATGCGAAGCCGGGATTCTCCTCAGAGGCTGTGCGGGGCTCGGAGTTCCTCCCGCCTGGAGCCGCCAGCTCCCAGCGGGAGCCCTGCTCACACCACAGGCATCAGCTCACACCACAGGCATCAGCTCACACCACAGGCATCAGCTCACACCACAGGCATCAGCTCACACCACACACCAGCTCACACCACACATATCAGCTCACACCACACGCATCAGCTCACACCACACGCACCAGCTCACACTGAACACACCAGCTCACACCACACGCGTCAGCTCACACCACACGCACCAGCTCACACCACACACACCAGTTCACACCACACGGGTCAGCTCACACCACACACACCAGTTCACACCACGCGCGTTAGCTCACACCACACGCGTCAGCTCACACTGAACACACCAGCTCACACCACACGCACCAGCTCACACCACGATCGGCCTCCGGGCAGTACCGGACCTGCCGTCGCCCCGTTAGCCGGCGGTGGGTGCTGTGGGTGCGAGTGTGTCTGTTTCCTGCCGGCGGTGGCTAACAGCCTAGGACGCTTGTTGGCTGCGGTGCGGTGCGGGGTTAATGCCCACAGCTGTTGTGGGGAAGGCGGGTCCTGCCAGCCAGCCGGGAGATGGGGATCTGGCCACAGCCCCTCGGGCGCCTGCGGGGACCTGGAGAGGGCCTCCCGGAGCTCCCTCTGTCCTGGTGCTGCACCGCACACGGCAGGGCCTGGGGCCGTCGGCAGGGCCTGGGGGCTGAGACAAGGTCCCCCATCCCCAGTATCCTGGGGATACGCTGGCGCCCCTGCCCCGCTCTGCTCAGTGTCCTAACGCCCTGGGCTGGTGCTCACAGGCTCATGTTACGCCCTCTGGGGCCCACTGCCAGTTTGTCTCACCCCCCGCCACTCCCCGCCACCCCCCGCCACCCCAGCCACGGTCGGGCTCCCCCCTCAGTCCTAGAGGAGGCTGTGGCGACGGTGACCTTCTCGAAGGAAGATAAAGCCAGAGGTTGGCCGGTGTGGCTCTCAGCCCTGTCTTTCAAGGGCTTGGTCTCGGGCTGTCCTTCCCCGCCATCCCAGCAGGGGGCACCCCTGAGGCTGTGGGCTAAGTGTGGGTGGGGCTCCCCGACCCCCGTGCAGCGGGGCACTAACCGGTCTCTCCTCCGTTTCCATGCTCGCAGATCAGGTACATGCAGGTAAGCGCTGCCCGCGCGCGCGGCTCCCCACCTCGGCCCTGTCCCAGAGACACTGCCGGCTGTTTGTATGCCGTGTTAGGGGTCACTCAGCACCCCATGGCGCCCGGGAGTAACGATGCAGCTCCTGGGGCCCGAGGGCGTGGCTGCCTCTGCAGTCACATCACCCCCTTCCCCGGCTCTGTGACCACAGTCTCTTGGTCAGCCCGCCCCGTTCCCCCCAGAGGTGGGGGCCAGCCCTGCCATGACAGCGTGTCCCCAGGGCCCTGCCAGTGGTGTTAGCCGGTGGGGAATCGGTGTCTTTCTCTGAGGCACCAGCTCAGGTGTCAGACACGGGTCCTCAGGGAGCTGGTCAGAGCCTCTCCTGTGCACACAGTAGGTGCTTTAAGCACCTCACACCTGCAGTCTGGGCCGGAGGTGGCTTGTGCGGGGCTTGCCCTGGCCTGGAGCCGCGCTTCCTCGGCACTGCCGTCAGTTCTCAGGTTCCCACGCAGCCCCTCCCGTGCCTCAGTTTCCTCCTCTGTAAGGGGAGAGGTGGGGAAGGAAGGCCTGGGCCCCTTCCATCTCCCACCTGGCCCCACATTGGCCACGCCCGGCGGTAAGTGGGCGGCAGGCCTGGTGGGCGACCCTGCTCACGCCCGGTGCCCGTGTCCATCCATCCCGTAGAAAATGGGCATGACGGAGGATGACAAGCGGACATGCTGCCTGATGGAGATCCAGGAGACCGAGGCCAAGTACTACCGCACGCTGGAGGACATTGAGAAGGTGGGCCGGGCCGGGGCGTGCCGTGTGCTTGGGGGGTAACCATGTTTGCAGGCCTCCCCTCCCCATTTGAGGCGAGTGTGCCGTCCCCGAGCCAGACAGGTCAGACAGCCTGTCCATGTGGGCACTTCCTCCCACTCTGTCCAGTGGCGGGGGAGGCCGGGCAGGGCCCCGGGAGAAGGGTCGGAGGGGAGTGGCGGACTCCTCCCGGCAGGAGGCGCGTTGGCACCTGTGAGAGCCGAGGCGGCTCTGCAGGACCACCGCCTGCCTGGAGCTGCTGGGCGTTGAGCCGCTCCCGCAGGCTCAGGTCACAGGCTGGGGCCCGGGGGCCCATCACCTCCCGGGCCTGTTTCCTCGTGTCTCCAACGCCAGCCCAGCTCCGCGGTGGCTGTGGGGTTCGCGTCCAGCGGGACTCACGTGCCCCCAGGGGCAGGCGTGGCCCTCCTCGCTGCTCAGGCCCCGCCCATCGGCCCGTGGCAGAGCCGGCCTCCCAGACGCTCCCCAGCGAGCACTGAGCGCCGCCGCAGGGAGCCCTGACCCGGGTGTGTGTGTGTGTGTGTGTGTGTGTGTGTGTGTGTGTCAGAGCCTCCGGCCGAGCTGTGGCCCGGAGGTGGCTGCCCCCAGGCTGAGGCGGCATCGGCTCTGTCTTCCAGAACTACATGGGCCCCCTGAGGCTGGTGCTGAGCCCCGCGGACATGGCGGCCGTCTTCATCAACCTGGAGGTGAGCCTGTGCGCCGCCCGCGGGCTCTGTCCCGGGTTCCAGGCTGTGCCTGTACCCAGGTCCCGGACTGCCTTGCATCCCTGCCCGGGGCCCGATGGGTCCTGGCTAGGGGTGTTTCTTGGCTGGCAGATGAGAGGAGGGATTGGTTTCGGCCTCCTTGGGCACCAGCTCGGGAGCCCTCCTGGCTGGGTTACACCCACATTCTGTGGGACGCACCCCCGCTCTCCATCGAAAGCAAACAGGGACCGGGGGCCCCTCTGGCAGTGCCCGCTCACGTGCCCACGGCTTTCCCTCCAGGACCTGATCAGGGTGCACCACAGCTTCCTGAGGGCCATCGACGTGGCCATGATGGCGGGCGGCGGCACGCTGGCCAAGGTCTTCCTGGAGTTCAAGGAGAGGTGGGTGCGGCCCTCTGGCTGCGGGGCCTCGGGTCGCCCAGGCGCCTCTCTGGGTCCGAGCAGGACAATGCAGAGCTGTCCAGTGGCTCCACCGGGGGGAGGGGTCCCCTGGCTGTGAGCCACCCGCGGCAGGTGGCATATGTGTGTGCGCACGTGTCTGCACACATGTGGCTCTACATGTCTGCATGTGCATGCCCAGGCTCCTGATCTACGGGGAGTACTGCAGCCGCATGGAGCACGCTCAGAACACGCTGAACCAGCTCCTCGCCAGCCGGGAGGACTTCAGGCTGAAAGTGGAGGTGACAGTGGCTCCCGGCCCGGCCCCTGCCCTGCCCCTGCCCTTTCCCCGGCTCCGTGGCCTCCTGCTCCCCCACATTGTAAAAAGGTGGACTTTTTCTTTTTTAAACATTTTTAATTTTCATTGATTTCAGAAAGGAAGGGAGAGGGAGAGAGAAAGCGACATCAATGATGAGAGAGAATCATGGATCAGCTGCCTCCTGCACGCACCACTGGGGATTGAGCCCGCAACCCGGGCCTGGGCCCTGACCGGGAATCGAACCCTGACCTCCTGGTTCACAGGTTGATGCCGGCCGAGCTGATAGGACTTTTTTGTGGGTGATTTTAGCAGGTGATTTTTCCCTCCTCTGTGGGGTGGGCAGTGAGCAGGTGGAGGTCACTGTCCCGGCCGAATCCAGCCTGAGCCCTTGGGTGCAGGTAAGGTAGGCCCCAAGGACCGGATCTGGCTCAGTGAGGGACTGTGACCAACCCCGGACCCTGGCCTAGGTGGACCCCAAGGGTAAGGTGACCAGATGTCCCGCTTTAGGCGGGACAGCCCCGATTTTGACAATTTGTCGCGTGCACTTTAAAGCACTGCGGGACGCAGGACAAATTGTTGGGAATCGGGACTCTCCCGCCAACAGCGGGACATCTGGTCACCTTACCCTTGGGGTCCACTTAGGCCAGGGTCCGGGGTTGGTCCCGATTTCCAACAATTTGTCCTGTGTCCCGCAGTGCTTTAAAATGCACGGGACAAATTGTCAAAAATCGGGACTGTCCCGCCAAAAGCAGGACGTTTAGTCATCTTACCCAGGTGACAGCTGTTTGCTGGGAGCTATGGAGACTCCCATTCACCCCTACACCCCCCTTCTCCCCCCCCCCCCCCCCACTCTCCCATCCTCCCTGGGCTCAGGGCCCGGATCCTGTGGGGTTTCCCACTTGGACCCTGTCCTCGCTCCCCTCCCTGGGGTGGGCCAGGCTGCCCCCGGCTGGGTTCCCGTCAGACCCTGCTTCTGGAGTGGTCCCTTAGTCAGCGGTGCGGGGGTGCCCGGGTCCAGGCAGAGAGGGAGCCCTGGTTCTGCGGGTGCTCCCCCCCCCCTGTGAGCCGGCTCCCTGAGGGCGTGGGGGCCGGCCCAGGGAGCACCAGCCCCAGACTCGCAGCCCTCATGTGACCACTGCGGCTCCGAGGCTGTGAGAGGCGGCAGCCCCGCCCTGGTTCTGGGGAGGGGGTTCTGGGAGCCAGGCCAGACAAGGATGGGACGCCTGGCCCCAGTTCCGGCCTCAGGTCTGCCCCCGGCCGGGGTGTGGGAGCGTCGGGGCCCAGCGTCCCCGGGCCGGGACGCCCCTCATCGCCTTGCTGCCCCGACGCCCAGGAATGCACGCTGAAGGTCCAGGACGGGAAGTTCAAGCTGCAGGACCTGCTGGTGGTGCCCATGCAGCGGGTGCTCAAGTACCACCTGCTCCTGAAGGTGAGCCCGCGGCGGGCGGGGTGGGGCCCAGGTTAGAGCCAGCAGCCACAGGAGGGCGCTGCTTAGGCCTGGAAGCCGCAGGCGCGAGGAGCCGGCTAGGAGCCGGCTCTGCTGGCGCCGTGGGAGGCGTGCACAGGAGAGAGAGGGCTCACGTGGGGCGCGAGTGGAGAAAGCGGGGGTGGGGTGGGGGGAGGCGGGGTGCGGGGACAGGAAGTGCCCCAGCCAGGAGTGAGTGTTCCCAGGGCTGCGCCTTAGCCACCCGGAGCTCCCCGGTGGCCACGGAGAAAGGGGAATGAAGTCCTGGGCAGACGGACCTGGGGTGACGCTGGTTGTGGGAGGAGCCAAGGAAGGCTCTTCGTGAACCAGCTGGTTCCTGTGGGCTCAGCACCCAGCTTTGTGGCGGGGGTGTCCCTCCTGTTACCCACCGGACCGGGGACACCCCTCCCTTGAAGCGGTGGGTGGCCCGGGTGGGGGCCTCCTGTCCGCTGGAGGCGGCAGCTGAGCCCGGCTGTCTCAGGAGGCCTCACTCTGTGCCCGCCCGCACCCTGTGCCCGGTGGGGGCGAGGGCAGAGGCCAGGACCCCTGAGTTCCCTTCTCACCCCCTCAGGAACTTCTGAGCCATTCCACCGACCGGCCCGAGAGGCAGCAGCTGAAAGAAGCACTGGAAGCCATGCAGGTGGGTGGGTAAACTGAGGCAGGGAGCGGCCGGGCTGGCCTGGGGCTTAGCCCACCAGGCCTGCATTCCTGGGCTGGAATGGGGTTCACCCTAGATGTAGCATCTCCCGGGGAGCACGGAGCAGAGCAGGGCACAGGTGGTGGGGGAGACCCACCCACGGCAGAGGGTCGGGGCCGGGACCCTGCAGGCTTTCCCGCCGTCCGCTGGGGCCACGGGTTCCCAGGCCCTCGACTCAGTTCTGGGCATCTGTCCTGTGCTGCCTGCTGCCCAGCCCTGGGACGTCTGCTTCTGACATGCCCGCCCCTGAGCCACAACCCCCCCCCCCCCCCCCCCCCCCCGCCTCGCAGGCCCGTGCCAGCCACTGGCAGCTGCCACGGGGAGCTCAGCGGGCGTCGCACGCTGCCCTGAGCCTTCCTGTGGCTCCCACCGCCCGTCGGGCACGGGCTTCTCAGCGTGCTCGTGTGGCTCGGCGGTGGTGCTTGCCACGTGGCCACGCCCCAGGCATGCTTGGCCACGCCAGGCCTGAGGACCTCCAGCCTTTCCCGCTGTGTCCCAGTCTTCCCAGGGGGCCCCTGGGTTCCACTCCCCGTTGTGCACGCTCCACGCTGAGCGCGCCTCTGAGCAGCCTGTGCCCGTGGGAGACTTCACTCCACGTCCGGGTGGCCGTGGCCTGTACCGCAGGGCTGCCGTGGGCACACAGCTGCCGGCCGTCTGCAGCGTTTCTGCCTCGGGTCTGGCCCTGCGCTGGCACGGCGGGAGCTCTGCGGGGGCTGCACCAGGCTGCGGCTCCACCCACGGCAGCCTGTGCCCCTGCTGGGCAGGAGCGGCGCCCTCCTGGTTCCCGGGAAGGGCCGGGTCCCTGGCTCTCCGCAGCGCTGGGTGCCCTGCCCACTCGCTCTGCCCTCTGGATTGTGGTGGGCACTGCCCCCTGGTGGTCAGCAGGAGGCTGCATGGCATGGCCAGCTGGCAAGCTGGTGGGGTTCGCCCACGTGCAGCCGGGGCTCCGGGAGGCGGTGGGCTTTGGGGGGTTCCCTCCTCGGGGTCCCTCCCCAGAGCTAAGACATGGCTGCTCGAGTCTAGGTGCCTGTTGTTTATCCACTCACACCCATGGGGTCAGGAGGCGGGAGTTCGGGTTCTTGGCCCCGATTGGAGTGCGGTTTGGGGTTGGTTCTACCTTTTCTTCCTGAGTTTCTATCTGTCCAGGGGGTTGGCCCTTCTCACTCCTTGCTGCTTTGAGAGCCAGCCACCTCTGGCAGCTGGTGGAAGGTGCTTTTTAAAAACATGTATTTTCTATTGACTTCAGAGAGGAAGAGAGCGGGAGAGAGAGACAGAAACATCAATGGTGAGAGAGAATCGTGGACCGGCTGCCTCCTGCACGCCCCTCACTGGGGATGGAGCCCACACTCTAGGCCTGTGCTCTGACCGGGACTTGACCTCCTGGCTCACAGGTCAACGCTCAACCCCTGGGCCTGGCCGGCCGGGCTGGAGGCGCTTTAAAGGGCCCGGCTCCGGGCGGATGCGGGCTGGGGGCTGGGGCTGAGCCCCCCGCCCTGCCCAGCGTGGGCCCGCTAACCGCCCCACACTGCTGTTTCCAAGGACTTGGCCATGTACATAAATGAAGTGAAACGGGACAAAGAGACCCTGAAGAAAATCAGCGAGTTTCAGAGTTCCATAGAAAACTTGGTAAGTGTGGCCGACTCTCCAGAGAATGGAGACTTCTCTTTAAATGTACACGGAGAGGCCAGATTATGATGATTTCGGAACGAATAATAATGTGACGACTCAGTGTACATTAGAGGCTCGGTGCATGAATTTATGTATGGATGGGGTCCGGCCAGCCTGGCCAGGGGTTTGGGGCATGGGCGGTTGGCCAGCCTGCCTGCTGGTCGAACTCCTGGTCGAGGGGACAATTTGCATATTAGCCTTTTATTCTATAGGACACACACTGAGTGGTCAGAATATTATGATTTCTGAACGCATAATAACCTGGCCACCCAGTATTGTGTGTGTGTATATATATTTCGGAGAGGCGCGGTGCATGAATTTGTGCATGGATGACCTGTCCATTGGAGCGCCACACGGACACGGCCCCCTCAAGGCGGGGGAGGCCAGTGAGGGCTTCCTGGAGGAGGCGTACCTGCGGGTCAGCATTGGTGCCGGAGCCGGGCGGAGGGCAGGGCTCAGCCTTCCTGTCTACGTGGGTCACCGGGACCGCGTCCAAGCAGAGCAGCCGAGATACAGCCTCACGGGAAACGGGATGAAGTCTCCGCGGAGCAGAGGGCTGGGGGAAGCCTGTCCCACGGCCCCGGGGCAGCTGGGCCGTCAGTGTGACCTGTGCTCCGGGCAGGACAACCCCGCCCGCCCTCGTCTATCAGACGCGCTCTGTTCCCTTGAACTTGGCTTTCGGGCCGGGCATCTGGCCTTTCCTGGCGGTCCCTGCGCTGAGCATCGCCACAGTGGCGGGGAGCCGCCCGCCGTGCAGGGTCTGCTCCTGGGAGGTGCAGGCAGTCCCGGCGGCGAGGGCACCGGAGAGGGCAGGCCTGCTTCTCACCTGCCCCTTGTTCTAAGCACCGGCTCTGTCGCTGGGTTTCCGCCTCTGTGGGCTCGGCCCCTGGGCTGGTGCACCCAGCCTCCTCCGGGCGGGGACGGGACGGGGGCCTGCCCGGCACGAGCTGACGGCTAACCGCCCTCCCCGACTTCCTAGCAAGTCAAACTGGAGGAGTTCGGGCGGCCCAAGATCGACGGGGAGCTGAAGGTGCGGTCGATCGTCAACCACACCAAGCAGGACAGGTGAGCGGGCGGGTGACGGCGTCACGGGCGGCGGCACCAGCCCAGCCAGGCGCCCGCCCCCACGGTGAGGAAACGGCCGCTCTGCCGGCGGGCGCTGCCTGCCGCCCGGCTTTGTGTGGCTCCGTTTTAATTGCTTCCTGCCTTCTCGGCGAGAGCGCTGGTGAGCCACGGCAGCCAGCCAGCGGCCGCCACGCCCACGGACTGCCCTGCACCAGGCTGGGCTGGGGGACAGCCAGAGGCCGTGGCCGGCCAGCTCCCAGGCTCCCAGCAGCCAGCCGGCCAGAATGGCCACGCGAGCCCTTTGCCAGGTGACTGAGGGAGTGCCAGGCGGGCAACGGGGCTCTGGCTGAGCTGGCACGGCAGCTGTTCAGCCCTCGGTGCCCTCCTGCGTGTGCGAGGCCCGGGCCTGCCTGTCCCGTCCCACGGAGGTTAAGGCTTTGGCTGGTCAGGGGTGTGTCTAGTGTCCTCTGTCACACGGGTTCGGCTCCCCTCTGGTTAGTGGGCGGTGGAGCTAGGGGGTGGAGGAGCCCATGTGCTCCTTGGGCCACAGGGAGGTCAAGGAGGACTTCCTGGAGGAGTCGTACTGAGCGGCGGAGTCCTGGCCGAGGGTCAGTGTTGGGGGGGAGCCAGGCGAAGGGCAGGGCCCGGGAGCACAGAGCACGGAGCACGGAGTGGGCCACGCTGACCCCCGCGCCCGGGCAGGTACCTGTTCCTGTTCGACAAGGTGGTCATCGTGTGCAAGCGGCGGGGCTACAGCTACGAGCTGAAGGAGATCATTGAGCTGCTCTTCCACAAGATGACCGACGACCCCATGAACAACCGGGACGTCAAGAAGGTGGGGCCTGTCCTGGGGTGGCGGGCAGCGGGCGGCGGGGCGCACGGGCAGGGAGCCGGGGTGCCCCACTGAGGGGTGTGCGGAGTGGCCTTGGGGAAGGGTGGGCTGCCAGGGACAGGGCTTCCTGTCAGTCATCCTCTGTCAGAAGGGCTCCTGCTGAAGGCGCCCCTCGCACCCAGGCCATCCCTGGCCTTGTCTCTGAATCCTCCCGGGAGTGGGAGTGGCCAGTGTCTCAGTGCCCGAGTGACCCAGCTAAGTGCTCAGACTGCTGCGTGGACAGTGGCTCTTGGCTGTTGGGGGTGGAGTCATGGCAGCTGGGGTGGGGCTGTTGCAGCTGGGGGTGGGGCCACATCAGCTGGAGGTGGGGCCATGACTCCTGGAGGTGGGGCCATAGCAATTGGGGGTGGGGCCACAGCAGCTGGGGATGGGGCCATGGCTGCTGGATGGGACTGCCCTGCTCTCTCCCTTCAGTCCTGCTCCTGCAGAGGCCTCTGCGCCATCGCTGGGGCCTCATTTGCAGCCCTGAGTGGGGTGAGGGCCAGGAGCCCACGTGCTCTGACCTCAGGGCTCACAGTGCAGAGTGAGGTGCCGCCTGGAAGAGCTGTTGAGGGACCTGCCTGACCATGGGTCCCAAACAAGCTCCTGAGCCCAGAGGGGTGAGCCGCGGCCACGCCCAGCTCCGGGCTGAGACCCCCCCAGGGCCCCGCCCCCTCTCCCCTGGGGAAGGCCGCTGCCCACCCAGGCTCTCAGCGGCCAGTGTCCTGGGCTGTGAGCCCGTCATGACCTCGCCCCTTTTCCCTCCTCCTCACGCTGCCTAGTCTCATGGGAAAATGGTAAGCCCCTGGCGCCCACGCCTTCCTCACCTCGGCGAGCGGCACTTCCCCTGAGCCGGGAGGGGCCGGGGACCCCGGCTGAGGGGGGTGCCCCCAGGCCTTCTTCCCCGGCAAAGGCAGCATTTCCCCCCAAGCCGGGAGGGGACGGGGAACGGGGGGCCCATGGGGGGCGGCACATGGCTTCTTGCTCCTCATCTTCCTCCTCACGACGATGCAGGAAGATTTGCCTCTTACAGAGGGTTCAAGCGGGGTCCCCACCAGCCTGTTCCCCGGAGATTAGGCCATGGCTGGTCAGGGGTGTGTCAGGTGTCCTCTGTCACCCTCTGTCTTTTCTCCATTTCCTCTCCCTCCGCCCCCTCCCTCTTCCTCTCTGCCCGCCCTCCCGTCACTAATACAGAGGCTCGGGCTCCACACTGCTTCCTGGGCCTGTGGCAGCCCCCGAGGGCCAGGCCGGGGCGCCGAGGGGTGGGCGCGGGTGGGCCCCAGCCCCACGGCCTCCCCTCCCTGCTCCTCTCGGTGGGTTTGGTGGGTTTGCTTCAGAGTGGGCGCTCCTTCGGCGCCTCCTTTAGGAAGGAGAGTGGGGCGCCGGCGTGCTTGATGGAAGGCCGGCTGGTTTCCGAACGCGGGCTCCCCGGACCCGCTCAGGCTCAGGGCCCGATGCACCAGCGGAGTTCAGCTGAGGTGCACCCTGGAGGAGTCGGGAGGGGTGTGCACATGCCCTTATGCACACGTGTGCAGGCACAGACATGAGTGCACTGTGTACATGCACGTACACATGCACACACGTGAGTGTACTGTATACATACACATATGCACACACAAGAACAAACATGCATGCGAGTCTAGTGTCCCTCTGTCATCCTCTGTCATTTCTCCTTTCCCCCTTCTCCCTCCTCCTCTCTGTCACTCTAACACATGGGCTTGAGGTTTCCAAATTCCTATGCCTGTGTGCACATACGTACATGTGCACATGCAGGCATAGACATGCGTAGGCATGCACTGTACACATGGATACACACATGTTCTCTCCCCTCACAGTGGTCCTATGGCTTCTACCTGATCCACCTGCAAGGCAAGCAGGGCTTCCAGTTCTTCTGCAAGACGGAGGACACGAAGCGGAAATGGATGGAGCAGTTTGAGATGGCCATGTGAGTCCGGGGGCAGTGTGGGGGCTAGGGAACCCAAGGGGGTGCTCTGTCCAGTGGATGGAGCAGTTGGGGATGGCCAGGGGAGTCCAGGGGGCAGTATTGGGGGGGCTCGGGAGCCCCGGGGGGACTCTGTCCAGTGGATGGAGCAGTTGGGGATGGCCAGGGGAGTCCAGGGGGCAGTATTGGGGGGGCTCGGGAGCCCCGGGGGGACACTGTCCAGTGGATGGAGCAGTTGGGGATGGCCAGGGGAGTCCAGGGGGCAGTATTGGGGGGGCTCGGGAGCCCCGGGGGGCCTCTGTCCAGGACTCTCTCAGGGGAGGGTGAGGGCAGATGCCCAGAGACCCAGCGCCATGCTGGTGGCATCCTAGCCGGCCCAGGCGGGCTCCGCTGCCCGCAGCCCCGAGGCTGAGCCCGGCACGCTGTCTGGCAGGGCACACCGTGGCCAGCAGTGGTCGCGATGCCAGATGGACCCCTGGTGACCCCCTCGGGGCCCAGGCTGGGACTGTCCCCGTCTGTGGAAGCCACAGAGCTAGTCTGGGAGGAGCCCTTCTGTCCAGCGAGGTGACCAGTGGGTCACGGGGACCCAGGCACGCTGGCCCTGGGGCCCTCAGACTCTGCGGCCAGACGGGCAGGTGCGCCCACTCCTGGCCTCTCTCCTGGTGAACCGGCGGTGCAAGGAGGTTGTTAGGGGGGCCGGAGGGGGACACGGCCTGGCAGGACACGTCAGAACCAATGACCGCCCGGCTGGCGTGGCTCAGCGGTTGAGCGTCAACCTGTGAACTAGGAGATGAGGGTTCGATTCCCCGACGGGGCCCAGGCCCAGGTTGCAGGCTCCATCCCCAGCGGGGGGCATGGAGGAGGCAGCCCATCCATGACTCCTGTTGTTGTTTCTCTCCCTCTCCCTCTCTCTTCCTCTGAAATTAAAAATATATTTTTAAAAAAAGGGAAGATGGATGATGTCTCCTTCACCTCTGCCCCCAGCCCCCGGTGGCATTGTCTCCCCGAACCCTCTCAGGACCGCCCGATCCCTCCCGCTGGCTTTGTCTAAGCCCCGGCCCCGTGCCCGCTGGCAGGGATGTGCCTGCTGTGAGCTCAGCTCACTGCCACTCACAGTCTTCTCATCGCTGGCTCGTCCCCAGGGGCGTCCCGAGGGGCCCCTCCGCCCAGTCTTGTCCAGTGCCTGCGCCTGCCCCCCAAACCCTGTCCAGCTGGGGTGTCAGGCAGGCCCAGCCTGCTGGTGCGGGCTCAGGGAACCTGCCGCCTCCCTCCACCAGGTCGAACATCAAGCCAGACAAAGCCAACGCCAACCACCACAGCTTCCAGATGTACACCTTCGACAAGACCACCAGCTGCAAGGCCTGCCGGATGTTCCTCCGGTGAGCCCCGCCCCGCCCCCGCCGAGGGCCCGAACCCACCGCCTCCACCGCCGCCTCCACCAGCCGACCTCCACCGCCCTGGGCTGGGCCCTCAGCTCAGACCCGGCCCGGAGGGGGCCGGGAGGACTGTCCCTGCGGGGAGGGTGCCCAGGGCCCGCCTGTGGGACGGCAGAGCAAGGCGGGGGCCTGTCTTTGGTTATTTGTCCCGCAGCGTTTTTAAAAAGTCACGATTTTTGGATAAAAAAATCGGGACTTTTTCAAAACGCCGCAGGACGCGGGACAAATGGTTGAAGATGGGGGCGGGACGCTTGGTCACCTTAGTGGGGAGAGCGGGACGGGGTCTCAGAGGCCCGGGGTTGGGAGGGGTGGGCGCTCTGGGGGACAGCGGGTGGGCCTGGTGCTCTGGGCCCTGCCTCACCCCCCCGCCCCCGGCACAGGGGCACCTTCTACCAGGGCTACCTGTGCACCAAGTGTGGGGTCGGGGCCCACAAGGAGTGCCTGGAGGTGACGCCGCCCTGCAAGATCAGTGAGTATCCTGCCCGCCCCCAGGCCGCCCGACACCCGCCCAGGTCCCGCAGCCCACTGCCACCCTCGCCCCCTCTGGGAGCCGCCCCCGGACCACCCGACACCCCACCCCGCCCAGGTCCCGCAGCCCACCGCCCCCTCCGCCCCCTCCGCCCCCTCTGGGAGCCGCCCTTGGGCCACCCGACACCCCACCCCGCTCAGGTCCTGGCCCACCGCCACCTCCGCCCCCTCCGCCCCCTCTGGGAGCCGCCCCCGGGCCGCCCGACACCCGCCCAGGTCCCGCAGCCCACCGCCACCTCCGCCCCCTCCGCCCCCTCTGGGAGCCGCCCCCGGGCCGCCCGACACCCCACTCAGGTCCTGGCCCACCGCCACCCTCGCCCCCCCCCCGGGGCTGGTGCGTGAGCACGCGCTCCTTCCCGCTGAGGTGCCCGCCGGACGGCTGAGGACACCGAGGCTCGGAGGGGCGGACACCTGCCTCGGGCGCCACGTCCAGGGCCGGGGCCGGGCTCCTCCCTCCTGGCTGCGCCCTGGAGCGCTGCTCTCGGCCTCCCCGTGTCCCCGCCTCATCCCAGCGGGGGCCTGTGGGGTCCCCCCAAGATGGACACAGAACCTCTGGGAAGTGCTCGGGGGCTCTGGTCTCAGAGAAACCCTGCGCCCGCTTCCCCTGTGCCGGGCGCCTGGCCCTCCAGCTGAGCCGTGCTGCAGGTGGTTCATGTGCACACGCACACACACTTAGTTTCTATTTACTGCTGAGTCTGGCCCAGTGCCTGAGAGGGGAGGAGCGTCCGACGGCCCAGGCCCTGGGCCCCACCCCCACCCGCCCACCCCCATCCAGGCCCCTCCCGGCAGGAGCACTGCCCTCTTGTGGCCACGTATCCCTCGCGCTGGGTGACTGGCATTCGGGGAAGTGTTTTTGTTGTTCTTTTGATCCTAAAAGTAACATACTTGTAAAAAATTTGAAGGAAAAAAAAAAAAGAGAGAGAGAAGAAAATAAATGCCCCCATGAACTGGTGAAGAAATGACCAGAGGCTGTTCGGTCCGGGGTCCGGGCCTCCCTGTGGGGCCTCCTCCCCCGTCCCAGCCCCGGGCCCGGCCGCAGCAGCCACGGGACTGGCAGAGCCCCTGCTCCCGGCCGTGGCGTCTGGGTGGCAGCAGCGGGCGCCTGTCTCCGGGAGGAGCTGCCCTGAGGGTGGACGGGGTTGGACATCAGTGTCCATGGCGGGGAGCGGGGAGGGGCCTGGGCCATCGTCACCTGCAGGGCGCGTGGCTCTGCTTTCGGACGAAGCCCCGCCCTTGTCCCCACGGGCCCAGGCCCCCCCCGGCCCTGCCGTGCAGGCTCTAACCTTCCGGAACCCTCCGGTCTGGGCACGCCGCACGGACCAGTACGGGTCAGGGGACTGGCTTTCTGACCGCTGCGTGCTGTCGCGGGGAAACGGGAAAACGTAGGACGAGCAAACGAGCGGACCTGTGCGGTGGCCGCAGCCCCTCCTGCTGGGGCGCTCACCCTGGGCCGGCCGCTCTCCCAGTTCCCGCTGCGTCTGTGGGTGGGGTCCCCCCAGACGGGCCGCTCCCCGCCTTTGGAAGCCCTGGTCAGACGCACACCTCGCCCGCTGCGGTGAGCCCGGCCCTGAGCCCGGTGCTTCCTTTTCAGGTTCGCCTGCTGACCTGGTGAGTCCGCCACGCTCTGCCGCCCGCAGGCCACGCCCTGTGCTGCCAGGCCCCGCCGTGCCAGCTCTCGGCACTCCCGGCTGCCCCGGCGAGCACAGCCACTGGTGCTGCTGCCCTGCCCGCCGCCGGCTCGTGGCCACGGGGTCCGGCCTTGTCACCGGCTCCTGCCCGCCTGCCCGCTGGCTCACTGCCCTCTGCTTAGCTGGCCCGAGGCTGCCCTGAGGTCACTGTGGGGTGTGGATGTCAGGGCCGCCCAGCTTTGGGGTCCAGACAAGTTAGCCGGCACTGACATGTGCTCACCAGCCCTGCGTGGGGTGTCAGACGCCCCTGGAGGAGCAGAGGCAGCGGGATTGTCCCAGGCTCAGATAGGGAGCTCCAGGCCGGGTGGTCAGGGCAGGCTTCCTGGAGGAGGTGGGAGCTGGTGGTAAGGTGGGCAGGGGAAGGGTGGGGGTCCCGGGCTGTAGGGGGCACAAAGGGGGGAAGACACAGTAGAAATAGGGGGGGTGTCACAGGGGAGCAGGAGTCTAGGATGTCCCTGTCCCGCCCCTCCCTGCCTTGACCCTTCTCTGGGGAGGCGGAGTCGGACTGTGGGCGGTGGCCTCAGCCCTGTCGTCTGTCCCTCCCTCACAGGACGCCTCTGGAGCGGGACCAGGTGAGTGCAGGCTGGGGCCTCTCGGCTCCAGTCCTTGTCAGCGGTCACCTGGGCCCCGAGCCATGCAGCCGGGAGCACGGCTGCTTTCCCGTGTTCTGTCTCCTCTTCCCACCATGCACACACACACACACACACCACGTACATGCTACGCACACACCAACCCACCTGCACTGCGTCACAGGAACGTGGCTTGATCATGCCCCTGCCACTGGGACCCAGCGCCGGGACTGGGACCCGGACGGGCAGACAGGCCCACGCCCGGCGGCCAGGCCAGAGCGGGGCCTGACGAGGCCCGGCCTGCACGGCTCGGGGGCTCAGCCAGGACCCCCTTCAGCCTCAGAGCCGCCTGGGCCAGTGAGGGTGTGGCCTTGGCGTGTCCCAGGCCCACCTGCTCTGACCCGGGAGCTCGGGTCCCGGGCGGAGAGGCGCTGAAAGAAAACATGTCCCCCAGCCTGTTACCACACGCACACACGCACCTGCACACACACAGGTACACGCACACACAGCAGAGACGGTGGAGTCTGGGCAGGATGGAGTCCCCGAGCCACCCCCACCCCCGTCCCCACAGGTCCCAAGATGGTGGCCGTGCAGAATTACCACGGCAACCCCGCTCCCCCCGGAAAGCCGGTGCTGACCTTCCAGACGGGCGACGTGATTGAGCTGCTGAGAGGGGACCCTGAGTCTCCCTGGTGGGAGGTGGGTGCTGGGCTGGAGGTAGAGGCCAGTCGCCTGCCCCGCCCCTGGCCCAGGCAGAGGCCCTGCGCCCTGGCAGGGCAGGTGGGGGTGGGAGGGCAGGGGTGGAGGGAGGAGGGCTGTGGGCGGGGCCTCGGGGCCGTGGCTGTTCCCTGGGAGGACCCTCTGCGGGTCAGCGTGCTCCTCTGTGACCCCGTCCTGCCCAGAGGGCTGTGCGGTCAGCGGAGGTCACGGCAGGGAGGTGACGCCGTCACCGTCTCCAGACGGCCCTTCTGTCCCTGTCCCTGTCCCTGGGGGACAGTGAGCGCTAAGCTGCCCCCAAACACACCGGCCCTCGGCCTGACCGGGCCTCACTCTGCCGCAGGGGCGGCTGGTGCAGACCAGGAAGTCCGGCTGCTTCCCCAGCGCGTCCGTGAAGCCCTGCCCCGTGGACGGACGGGTGAGCTGGTGGAGGAGAGAGTGGGCCCAGGGCAGGGGGCCCTCCTGTGTGAAGGACCCGGCCAGGGGGCTGCATCCCATAACGGGTGTTAGAAACGCTTTGGGGTGCTCGTGGCCCTCGAGGCGTCCTGCAGCCTCTGTCACACCTCCCGGGGCAGGTGCGGGTGGCTGCTACTCGTTCATTCACTCGTCTCGCCGCTCATTCGTTCAAACCCAGTACCAGTCACTCAGGTGGAGTCCCGGTCACTGCCTCCAGGGACCCCACAGTCCAGTGGCTCCGGGGCCCAAGGGTCAGCTCATTGCCGACAAGCCCCCTTTATCCCCCCTCATGAGGGTGGTCCCTGGGGGGCATTAACCCCGTGTTCTCTTCTGCCAGCCCCCCATCGGCCGGCTGCCGTCCCGGGAGATCGACTACAGTGCTTACCCCTGGTGAGCCGGCCGGCGTGGGGTGGGGGGGCCTGGGCTGTGTGTAGGGGCATCTCTGGGCTGGGGGGCCCCTGGGCTTTGGGGGGGGCCACAAGCTGAGAGCAGGCTGGGTCTGGGTTCTCCAGGCAGCAGAGCCCAGCTCTTACCCTGCTCCGTGCTGGGCCTGATGGCCTGGGTCTGGGGTCTCCCCACCCCTGGCGGCGGCCGCTTTGCCGGTCATGGGGGGACGGTTGGGGGAGTGAGGTGCTGTCTCACGCTCTCTGCATGGAGAGTCGCTACCGCATGTGGAGGCGGTACATTGGAGGCCGGTCTAGTCACGTGTCTCCACATGCAGCCGCTCGTGGGACAGGGGATGTTGGCGTTGATACAGGCGTGACGGTGGTGGTCGGGTGTGAGCCGCGGTGCAGGCGGCACGGGGCCCAGCGACCGTCTCCGCCCGCCGGGCCACCGGCCGCCTGGAGGAAGGGAGCCGCCGGGGCCCGCGCCGGGGCCTCCCTCCCAGCGGCTCCTCCTGCGGGGCGGACGCTGTCAGGGCCGTCAGCGACCCCTCGCTTCCTCCCGTGGCTCTAGGTTCGCGGGCAACATGGAGCGGCAGCAGACGGACAACCTGCTCAAGTCCCACGCCAGCGGCACCTACCTGGTCCGGGAGCGGCCGGCCGAGGCCGAGCGCTTTGCCATCAGCATCAAGTACGTGTCCCAGCCACGTCCCTGCAGGTCGGCGTCGGGCTGGGTGGCCACGGGGTGCGGTGCCCAAACCTGGACACGGTCAGGGTAGAAGGGTGTCCACGGGTGAGCATGCCGGCTGCCGTCGGCCCACCACGGCCCTGCGAGCTTGGCCGGCGTTTCCAGGTTCAAGAGATGGGACAAGATCAGTGCAGAGCAGGCGGGGTGCTGGAGGGGCAGGGTGCCCAGCTCAGCCACAGAGCAGGCAAAGGTGCTGGGAGGGTCAGGGTGCCCAGCTCGGCCGCAGAGCAGGCGGGGTGCTGGGTGGGGTGGGGGCTCCCAGTAGCCCCACAGGTGGCCTCGGAGAGCACGGGGGTCACACGGCTGCCATCTTGCAGCCCCCGCCAGTGGTCTGCAGAGCAGCCTCCTACCCCCCTGCCCCGGGTCTGCTGTCCCCTCTCCCAGAGACAGCATCTGATTGGTGGTTGGCCACCACTGGCAGGGTCCGCCCCCCGGGGCGGGAGACCTGGGCCAGGCTAAGAGGGAGGAGGAGGCCAGGGATGAGAGCCCCACGCAGGCGTCTTCCTGGATGTCCCACTGGCCGTGGTGTGAAGTCCACGTGCGTGTGGCTTGTGTGGGAAGACCCGGCGCTGAAGGGTTAGCGCCTGCAGGCTAAGGGTGTTGGTGTGACATTTACTTCCTGTGGGTCTGTGTCTGGTGGTGTCGGCTGCAGGGGTGTGGGGCCACCTGGTGGGGAGGGGAGGAGAGGGAGGAGGCGGCCACATCGGATCCAAGACCTGAGGACACCGAGGGCGTGGAGGGTGGCAGAGGGGTGGCCAGGGCCAGGGCATGGCGGGCACGAGCTTGGCGTGGCCGAGGAGGAGCCGGGCCGGGCCGGCCGGCGAAGGGGAGGGGGTGCAGTGGAGGAAGTTGGGAGGAGGTGTCAGGGCCGGGGCGGGCTGCCTCCCACCTACCGCCCTGGCGGCGGAGGCCTCGGGCTCTGGGGGGTCAGGAGGCGGGGGGCCTCAGGCTCTGGGGGGACAGGAGGCAGGGGGGCCTCAGGCTCTGGGGGGACAGGAGGCGGGGGGCCTCAGGCTCTGGGGGGACAGGAGGCAGGGGGGCCTCGGGCTGTGGGGGGTCAGGAGGCGGGGGGCCTCAGGCTCTGGGGAGACAGGAGGCGCGGGGGCCTCAGGCTCTGGGGGGACAGGAGGCGGGGGGGCCTCAGGCTCTGGGGGGACAGGAGGCGGGGGGCCTCAGGCTCTGGGGGGACAGGAGGCGGGGGGCCTCAGGCTCTGGGGGGACAGGAGGCGGGGGGCCTCAGGCTCTGGGGGGAAAGGAGGCGGGGGGCCTCAGGCTCTGGGGGGACAGGAGGCGGGGGGCCTCAGGCTCTGGGGGGACAGGAGGCGGGGGGCCTCAGGCTCTGGGGGGACAGGAGGCGGGGGGGCCTCAGGCTCTGGGGGGACAGGAGGCGGGGGGCCTAGGCTCTGGGGGGACAGGAGGCGGGGGGGCCTCAGGCTCTGGGGGGCCAGGAGGCGGGGGGCCTCAGGCTCTGGGGGGACAGGAGGCGGGGGGGGGGTGGACCTCAGGGCAGAGAGCAGGGCGAGCAGAACCCCGAGTCAGGAAGTGGCTGGGAGGCCGTGCCGGCGGGGCTGGGAGCGGGGAGCTCCGGCAGGAGAGGTGGGCAGACAGACAGACAGACAAGCCGTGGGAGGCAGCCCGGAGCCGGTGGGGCAGGAGGACCGAGAGGCAGGGCTAGAGACTGGTGTGAGCCGAGGCCCAGGTGTGTCTTGGCTCCTGAGCGCCCCCCCCCAGAAGGGGCGGTAGGGGCTGGGCCTGGGCCCGTCGGTGACCGCTCGCCCTGGACTTGCCCAGGTTCAACGACGAGGTGAAGCACATCAAGGTGGTGGAGAAGGACAGCTGGATCCACATCACGGAAGCCAAGAAGTTTGAAAGCCTCCTGGTGGGCAGCTCTGCGGCTCCTGCCGGCCGGGCCCCGGGGTCGGAGAGGGCCTGGCCCCCTGCACCCCGTGCCTCGGGACAGCTAGGACCCACGAGTCGGGACCGTCCCCCAGACCCCTCAAAAGGGCCAGGGACCGGGAGGGCCCAGCCCATCCTCCTACCGGAGCCGGAAGCCATGGCCAGTGAGGCCTGGTGTGAGCCAACCTCGCCCGCGGCTGCTCCCCACAGCACCCCTCCCCCACGGGCCCCTCCCCCCGCCTCCCGCTCCCCGGATGCAGCTCCTTTACGACTGGACCCCTCCTCCTCCTCCTCACACACAGTCCATGCACGGAGACCACCGAGCTCTTGGGCCCACAGTGGCCACAGAAACGCCACGTAAAACAGCCCCCCACTGCGCCCCCAAACCACCACCCGCCCGGGAAGCCTTGCTGGGGTGCACATGCTCACGCCCGGCCTGCTCCCCGACAGGCGTAGTGAAAAACGGGCCAGTCAGGGTTAGTCGAGGCAGTGACATCACCACCAACCGGAGTAAACCCCTCCCCCCTCCCCTGGCTGGTGCCCGCGGACAAGCTGTTATTTCTGGAAGCTTCTCCCCGGTGTGGGGCACGCAGGGTCCCCGCTTTTATCCGTGTAAGAGTTGCAGGGAGCACCCCTGTGCCCTGGCCTCAGCATGTCTCAGGCTTCTCCTTTGGAAACATTGCGGGGAGAGGTGACTGGCTCAGAGGTCTTTGGGGCGCTGGCCACCCGCCTGGGCCTGGCGCTGGGGGAAGAGGAGGAGGAGGAGGGGGCCCTCGAGGGTCCAGGAGAGGAATCGCCTGTGTGAACCTGAGGAGGTGGGAGAGGGCACCCAGGAGGCCTGCCTGGAGGCGGCGGCAGTCAGCGGTGTGTGTCCTGCAGGAGCTGGTGGAGTACTACCAGAGCCACTCTCTCAAGGAGAGCTTCAAGCAGCTGGACACCACGCTCAAGTACCCCTACAAGTCCCGGGAGCGCGCCGCCTCCAGGACCTCCAGCCGGTCCCCAGGTAGGGCCCGCCCCAGGCACACCGGTGCTCCCCGCGGCCCGGGCCCCATGCCCACCCGCCCTCAGGGAGGCTCTCTGGGGGCCACGCTGACCTCGCCCGGGGCAGTGCCCTGGCACCCCCGCCCGGAGGAGCACCTCCCGGGCCGTGCCCAGGGCCCGGGGAGGAATGCCGCTCTGAGCCTGGGTGCCTCTGCCCGAGGTGAGTGCGGGGAGAGATCAGAGTGGGCCCCGCCTGCCTCAGATCGCTCCCTGTGCCCCCCCCTCCCCGTGGCCCCGCCGTGCGGGAGCCAGCCAGCACCTCTGGCAGCCAGCACCTCTGGCAGACCGGGCCTTGCTGCCCAGCCCGGGGGCTTGGGGGGCGGCTGGCCCTGGAGTGGGGACAGGCTGGGCCCCAGCATTCGGCATCCAGCCCAGCACTCGCCCCGAGCCACCCGCTTCCCCAGCGGCAGGACCTGCAGGGCGTGGGTCCACCGGGCAGAGCAGGCCAGGAGGGCTTGGCGGGCCCTCGTGAGCACCTGCGGTGTGCTGGGCGAGGGGCAGGCTCCCGCACGCCACTCGCGTGCCCGCCGCTGGGAGAGCTGGAGGCAGGGTGCCCGCGGTGGCCACTGCGCTGTGCCTGGTGGGCCTTGGGGCCGCCCCCCATCCCCCCAGCTCCTAGGACGGCCTGGGCTCCTGGCCTTTCACGTGCTCTCTCGCTCTTTGCAGCTTCCTGCGCCTCCTACAGCTTCTCTTTCCTCAGTCCCCAGGGCCTCGGCCTGGCTTCTCAGGGCTCCTCCGCTCCCTTCTGGTCAGGTACCACTGCCGCGGGCGGGGGGCCTGGCGGGCTGCCTGCAGGCGTCCGGCTGAGGGGGGCGGGGGCAGGCGGGGCTGCTGCACCCGAGACCCCGTCCGGCTTGGCGCTGCCCTCGCTGCTGTCACCCTGACACGCTCCCCGATGGCCACTCCGCAGCCGCTCCGCCATCGCCCGCGCTGCTCACGGGGGGCTGTGCCTCTGGCAGCGGCAGGCGGCCAGGCGGCCCCCTCAGCGCTGTCTGCAGGGTGGCGGGACTTGGGGGCCAGGGGGCGGGATCTCTGTGGCTGACCACACGGCCTTCCCTTCGCTGCCAGAGCCAGAGCCTCCCAGCTGCCGTGCCTGCTTCTCTCTCTGTCGCGGTGACTGTCGCCTGTCCATCAGGGCTCCTGGGTCCCGGGGGAGCTGGTCCGGCCGGGGTTCCAGTTTGGGGACCTGGAAAGGGAGCCCTGGGGTCCCTCAGGCTGCTCCGTCGGAGTGAGGGCTGGGAGCTGGGCGGCCTGTGGCGCCCGGGACCACGGTGGGGGAGGTGGGGGGTTCGCAGGCGCTGTGATGGTCAGAGCATGGCGTCTGTTCTTGTCCCCGTGGGCGCCCGGGCATCGCCTGTGAGGGCTCCAGGATGGGTGGGCGGCTCTGGTTCCCTCCACGGGGGTCTCAGGCCACTGAGGAGCGAGGGGCCTGGGCCTGGGGCCTGGGCTGTCCCTCCAGAGCCTTTATGCACCCGGCCTCCCCCCGGGGGTGGGCCGGACGCCTGGGGAGAGCCGCTCGGCCGGTCGGCCGGGCCCTGCCCCGCAGCCGGTGACCCGCCCATCCCCCACAGTGTTCACGCCCCGCGTCATCGGCACGGCCGTGGCCCGGTACAACTTCGCGGCCCGGGACATGCGGGAGCTCTCGCTGCGGGAAGGCGACGTGGTGAAGATCTACAGCCGCATCGGCGGCGACCAGGGCTGGTGGCGGGGCGAGACCAACGGCCGGGTGAGTGGCTGCCCCCCCCTCCGCTCCCTGCAGGGAGACCGCCTTCCGGCCAGCGAGGCCCGTCTCTGACTGCCCGCTCCCCCCTGAGCTTCGGGGAAGGTGTGGTCTTGTTTCTTTAAAAAATTTTTATTTTAAATACATTTTTATTGATTTCAGAGAGGAAGGGAGAGGGGAAGAGAGAGAACACCAATCAGTGGTCAGAAAGAATCATGGACCAGCTGCCTCCTGCCCGCCCTGCACTGGGGATGGAGCCTGCCACCCGGGCCTGTGCCCTGACTGGGAATCGAACTCTGATCTCCTGTTTCCAGGGAATGGAACTCGGATCTCCTGGTTCCTGGGTCTACACTCAGCCACTGAGCCAGGCCGGCAGGGCCTTTATCTCATCCTGCATATTTCAGCCCCACAGGGCGTGGCTTGTGTTAGGCAGCCAGTGCTCATTTAGATTCACATTTCCCGGGGCTCCTCCCGGCTCCTCCCGGCATCCGCCCGAGACCGGTTCCCACCGCTGGCACGTCTTCCTGGCCTGTGCTCCCGGCGAGTCCATCCGGAAGGCCTTAGTGTTTGCTGGATGGGGACGTGTCTTCATTCCACTCCCTTTTTTAACACCGGCCAGTGTGCCTCAGGATTCCTGGTCGGGGCACAGGCCTGGGTTTCCGGCTCGGAGTCTAGGGCGGGGCGTGCAGCAGGCAGCCAATCTGATTCTCTCATCATGGCTGTTTCTCTCCCTCCTCCCTGAGGCCTGGCTAACGCCCTCCCCCCCAGAGGCGGCTGGAGGGCGGGCTCAGCGAGCTGCTCGGGGCCCTGCCTCTGCCAGGCGCTCAGCTCTTCTCCAGGCCGGCGTCGGCGTTTGAAGGGTCCCCACCTCCACAGCCTGTTCACACACGTGCACATGCACACACACGCCCACGCGCACACATGCACACGCGCGCACACACCGTTAGTGACTCGCCGTCTGTCTGCAGATCGGCTGGTTTCCTTCGACCTACGTGGAAGAGGAGGGCATCCAGTGACCGGCCGCAGGCGGGACTCAGGGACTGTCTGGGCACCGTGTCCAGTCCTGCACCCGGACGGGGAAATGCCTGCTGACCTTCTGTCTCCCATGGCCGCGGGGACGGGGAGGGTGCTGAGCCCTGCCCGCCTGCCCGTCAGTCTGCCCGGTGGCCTGTGCTGGGCTCGCCGCTTGTACATAGGGGAACCGGGCGGCCGGCGTGGCTGCCCGCCGGAGGCCAGGAGGGGGCGCCGCGCCTGCGTGAGTCCTCTAGGCCGTTCCGTCCCAGACTGCGGGCGGCACTCAGAAGCCCGGAGGGGGCGGGTGCCGGCCCGGGCGGGAGTGGCCTCCCCACGTTGCTCAGCCTGGACTCAGCCCGCCTGCTTCGTGCTGCTCCCGGGGCGACGCGTAGGAGAGGGCACCGAAGGGCCCGGCCGCCCCCTGACCTCCCGTGCCCTCTGCCCGGGCACCTCTCTCAGGAAGGTGCCCTGGGAGCGAGGGGGCTGCCCGCCCCCTGGTCGATGGTACTGTCCTTGCCCGAACCCGAACCCGAACCCGAACCCGAGGCTGTCTGTCCTGCCTGCTGCCAGAGACTGGAACCCGATGCCGCGGGAAGAACACGGGTCCCTCGCCGTCCCTGCTGCTCACATTCCTGTCCAGAAGGGGGCGCACGCTCCCTGCGGGGCCCCGGCCTTGGCTCAGGACTGGGCTCTCGCCCTGGCGGGTCTTCCTCTGGGGGCGCCCAGAGCTCGTGAACGGGCCCCAAAGGAAGTGCTTCGCCCTGGGGCGCCCCCTGCCTCCCCGGCCCTGGCCTCTGGCTGCTGGGCCGGACCCTTCTCTGCCCGGATGTTGCATGAGACCCCATGACACGCCCCCCGAGCTCCGTGCCAGGCCCCTCTGTCTGCGGCTGCACCGCGCTGTGGGGGGAGCAGCCCGGCCGGCCCGTCCCCACGCTGCACGGGGCTCGGAGGGCGGCCTGGCGCCTGCAGGCTGGGCTCCCGCCGCCGGATGGCGGGCGGAGGGTGAGCAGGGGGAGGAGAGCAGCAGCCTCGGGCTGGGCTGGAGGAGTGGGTGAGGGCCGGCGGGGAGCCGGGGAGAATCCGCCCCTGGGGCGCACCCAGCACTTTGTGCGACCCCGGGCCACGGCCCCGCTGGAGGGAGGGACGCCCTTTCTGTCTACTGCTGTCGGAGGGTTTGTGTTTGTTTCTGTTCGGCTTGTTTGCTTTTTGAGGGAAAAAGAAGTTTGTAATTATTTCGTCCAGAGCTCCGTGTGTCTGTGAAAATAAGGAGGAGGTTTTCTGAGAGCGAAGCGTGTCTGCGGCCATCGCGACGTGGGCGGGTCCGGGCCCACAGCTGCTCTGTCTTTTTGTTCTCACACGGCGACTCCTGGGGCTGGTTTAGCTCTGCTCGCTCGGACAGGTGGGGAGGAGGGCCGGGTGGGGAGGAGGGGCAGGTGGGGAGGAGGGGCAGGCGGGGGGGGGGGCCAGGCGGGAGGAGGGCCGGGTGGGGAGGAGGGGCAGGCGGGGAGGAGGGGCAGGCGGGGAGGAGGGGCAGGCGGGGAGGAGGGGCAGGCGGGGAGGAGGGCCAGGCGGGAGGAGGGCCGGGTGGGGAGGAGGGGCAGGTGGGGAGGAGGGCCAGGCGGGAGGAGGGCCGGGTGGGGAGGAGGGGCAGGTGGGGAGGAGGGCCAGGCGGGAGGAGGGGCAGGTGGGGAGGAGGGGCAGGTGGGGAGGAGGGGCAAGTGGGGAGGAGGGCCAGGTGGGGAGGAGGGCCAGGCGGGAGGAGGGCCAGCAGGGCGCAGGTAGCAGGGCTGGGATGTTCCTGCTCCATCCGGCAGGAGGCGGGGCCCTCTGAGGGGCTGCAGCCAGGGCCTGGGATCAGCTGTAAACTTGGGGCCGTGCATGTGGGTCAGAACTCGGGGTCCCGCAGCTGGAGGCGACCTCAGTGGAACACTGGGTCGAGGGACTGCGAGGGATGGACACGCGGGCGCTGAGCGGGCGCCTGGGCCCCGGGGGCGGGCCTGTTACTGTGGAGACGGGGCTAGGCTGCTGGGGGCGCCACAGGCCCGGCTCCCTGGCTCGTGAGGATCAGCTGAGCCTGGGACCTGGTTACGAAGGAGGCAGGCGGGTTCGGATATTGGGTGACAAAGAAATTCCTGCCCGGGAATTTCTCAGCCTGAGCCCCCACAGGCCTGTTTGTTCCCACACCAGCTCCCAGAGCTGAGAGCCAGCGGGAGCAGAGAGCGGGGTGGCCAGGGGCAGCTGCTGCGTCCACAGGTGGCCACTGGGGAGGGGGGGAGGGGGGGCCGGGCATCAGAGCATCGGCTGTGGGTTCAGACCCCACGATGGCGGGCGCCCTCCTGTCCGAGGGCCCGGGTGTGGATGGGGCGGAGTCGGCCGGGACGAGGGGTGTGCCTGCCCGGGTGATCCGGGACATGGGAGGCAGAAGCAGCCGGGCGCTCCCGGTCAGGGAGGGCTGGCCGCCCGGGCACCAGGCATCACGGCCCGAATGTCGACAGCGGCGGGTCCCAGGGCGGGGCCAGGAGGCCTGGTCCCGAGCTGGAGCGACGCCCCTGGATGGAAGTCACCGGCCAGGGCTCCCTGTCCTTCCTCAGCGTTCCCGCACCCGGGACACAGTCACCCGGACTTGGAGGAGAAAGAAAATAAGCCCTGGCCGGGCGGCGCAGTGGGCAGAGCCTCCGGAGACACCGAGGCTGTGGGTCCCCTCCCTGGTCAGGGCACACAGGAGAACCCCAGTGGACATGTGGGTCGGTGGGACAACCAGTGGGTGTTCCCCCCCTCTTCCCTCTCCCCCTCTCAAATCAACACATTAAAAAAATGATGAAGAAAATAAAGACCCACTTGGCGTCCAGCATGGAGAGCAGGTGCCTCTGGGAGGGTGGTGGGAGCTCCCTGCGGAGGAGGGGGTGAGCAGGCTGGGCCACGCGGCCAGTCCCAGTGCCCATCACCCCCAACCCCCGTCCCCTCCCGGATTCCCAGGCTTAGGGTGCCTCCTGGGCTCAGCTCTCCCAGGTGTTGGACTCCGATGTGGCCACCAGGGGGAGGTGTTCTCTGCAAAGGCTCAGCCTCCCCCTCCATCGGTGAGTGCACTGGTTGCCCGGCTTCACTAGGGTCCTGTTTGGGGGTGCTCCTGCCCCCGGAGCCGGAGGGAGGATGCTGTCCCTGCTCCTCCCACCGCCCCAGTGGCTGGGGGTCCTGGTCAGGGGTCAGGCAAAGAGGCCGGGCGGGGACTGGCCCGCTGGACCAAATGGGCCCTCTGAGTGTGTGGCCAGCTGTGCGCAGCTTTATGGGGGAGCGTGGAAGCCGGGGTTTCTAGGCGGTCTCCCGCACCCCCCACAAACAGCCACCGCCGGGACCGCCCGTGGGGGCCTGGCGGGCTCGCTGCCGAGCTGGGGCGGGAGGTGTGTGAGGGGTCTTGTGCCGCTGGCCACGGCCTCTCCACCGCCCCCTCCGGGACCCTCAATGAGGGGGGCCCGCGCCCAACCCGCACTCCGTGGCCAGGAGATCCTCGAGGCTCCGTCTGTCTCCCCGTGGACAGGGGTGGTGCCCGGCCGTGGGGGCTGTGCCCCGGGGCATGAAGCACTGCCCAGGCCCAGCCCCAGGGCCTCAGCCTTGGGAAGCGACCACTCCCACCTCCACGTGGTTTCCCTCACAAGTAGTAGTTGAGGCAAATCATGGGGTGAGGTGGGAGCCCAGGAGCCCCCACGGAGCTGCCCACACCTGCTGGGGGTACCCCGTTCCTGGAGCCCCGAATCGGTCCCGCCTGCCCTCTGTGTGGGCATCCGGGGAGCGAGGTGCCGCCTGCCTCCCGAAGACCCCCAGGACCCCGGGGATAGACAGCCGACTCCATGGGGCCGGGCGTCCTGGTCATCGTTATTTTTATTTATTTATTTTTGAAAATATATTTTATTGATTTTTTTACAGAGAGGAAGGGAGAGGGATAGAGAGCTAGAAACATCGATGAGAAACATCGATCAGCTGCCTCCTACACACCCCCCACTGGGGATGTGCCCGCAACCAAGGTCCATGCCCCTGACCGGAATCGAACCCTGGACCTTTCAGTCCGCAGGCTATGCTCTATCCACTGAGCCACACCGGTTTCGGCGGTCATCCTTATTCTAAAGGCTCACAAGGGAAATGGAACTTCATTGTCAACCCAGCCCTCCCTCCGAGGTGCCCTGGACACTCCCGGACCACGGGTCACCGGGCTGCGTCCTGGCTCAGTACCCACTCTGAACGGGCAGCAGTCACTTCTCACTCGGAGCCGGGCACCCCCCCCCCCCCATGCAGCAGCTGTGCCAGGTGCTCCGCTCAGGCGCCGGGCCCAGGTGCGGCTGCAGCGAGGCCCGCCCCCTCGGGCCACGGGCAGTGTCCCCTGGCCCCCCGCCCCGCTCCGCCCTGGCCTCCCGCCCAGTCAGAGCGGCCGCAGACGCCTCCCTGTGCCGGGAAGCTGGCCAGCGGGCGGGCAGAGGGCGGGCTGGGGCCTGCGCGTGGGGCCAGCCCGGGCAAGAGGGGCGGGCTCAGGGCTGGCCACGTGGCAGGGCCGGGTCTGGGTCTGTGTGGGTGGGGGAGGGGCGGGCAGGGAACGTGGGGACTTTGGTTTGCACGTGGCTTTCTCAGTGCACTGAGGACAGGACAGGACAGCACGCAGGGGAACGCGCAGCGCCTTCCTACGTGGGCCCTGGAGGGTTCTCGTCCCGGCTTGTCCGGTGGGAAAACAGGCTCGGCCAGCAGGACCAGCCCAGGGGGTACAGCAGGCTGGCAGCAGGACCCTGACTGGGTGTCCCTCCCTGGAGCCTGGCCCCTCCTGAGCTGTGCCCTCCAGTGCCCTGGGGAGCCGAGGGGCCCGCCCCTCCCCCAGACTCCAGCAGGGCCAATCGGTGGCCTCGCTGACCACGGGAGGCCTGGCCCTCCGGCCACCGCCCCTGGTCCAAAGTCCAGGGCTACAGCCGCCCACTTGGCTGGTGAGGATCGGCACCAGCTGCTTGACGTGTGTGCGGGGCCTCGGGCAGCCGGGCGGCCCGAGCTGCTGCCCGGGCTGCGGTGGCCAGTGCGTCACCTGCGTGCCGGGCACTGCGTTCTCGGGGACAAGGCCATGACCCGTGCTCGTCCTCTGACCTGGCCTTCACCATCGAGTGAGGGCGGCTCTGACTCTGTCCAGGCCGCTGCCCAGGCCAGCCACACAGTGACCGGCCGATGTCCTCCCTGGCCCTGGACCCCGAGCCACCCCAAGGAAGCCTGGTGCTGGCGGAGCCAGGGAGTGAGGACTGAGAACGCCTGGTCAGGCGAGAGTCCAGGCCACCTCCTCCAGGACGCCCCCTGGCTTCCCTGCTGGGAGGGAGGACCACTTGCTCGGGAGCAGCTGCTGCACAGCCGCCCGCTTCCTCCCGATGGACCTGAGCCCGTGAAGGCAGCCTGGTCCCTGCTGCCTTGATTCCAGGCCGAGCTTTGCACGCAGTCGGTGCTCAGTAAAAGTGGAGGGCAGACCGGGGAGCAGCCAGAGGGAGGACCGCCTGGTGCCAACAGGAACCCAGTTCCGTGTTGGACGGTCCTCACCCTGGCGGCTGGCATCGCTCTGGTGTCCACTGGCCATAACGCAAACCCAGGGGCCAGTCCAGTGGTCAGCACAACGATTGAAATTTCTCTTGAGAGCCACACTTTTTAAACTTAAACTTCTAACGCCACTTCTTCCAAATAGACTGGCCCAGGCCCTGGTATTTTGTGGATCAGGATGTCCCAGGCGGGACGGGAACGGGGTTAAAGGGGGCGTGGCACGGGCAGGGGGCGGGATGTGGGCAGTGCCTGGCCTTGCTGCGGGGGCGGTGCCAGGAGGGACTGGCTGGGGCGGAAGGAAGGAGCCTGGCTGGGCGGGCGGCGGGCGCTGGGGGGGTGGGGGGGCGGGCCCAGGCTCCCCGGCGGGCGGGGTGGGGGCGGCCCGGGGTTGGGGGATTCTGTCGGCTCTGGCTGCTGCACGGGGCGATAGCTGGGCTGGTGGGCGGGTCCTGGGCCGCTCCCTGCCCCTCCGCCAGGTCCGCTGGGCAGGCACCCATTCACCCTCCTCCTGCAGCTGCGGGGCTCCTCCGGCCCCTGAAGCTCAGGGTAAGTGGTGGCCGTCCCGCACCCCGGGGTCCTGCACCCTCACCCCTGCCAGCGGGTGTCCTCCTGGGGGCGGGACAGGCTGTGGGGGCCCCGGAGCAGGCTAACGGGGGAGCAGCTGCTGCCGGGAGCAGAGGACTGGGCCAGGTGGACAGCAGGACTGGGCCAGGTGGACAGCGGGACT